TAACATAAATAACACCAGTGGTCAAGCTCAAGATATACATCGTACGCGTTATAAACTTTACACACTTATAATTTCTTAAACGTAAGTATTAAGTTTCCCCTAATACAAACTATTACACATACGTTAAACATATCTATTAATATATTATGATTTTTAAAAATTATTAAATTCCTGAGAAACATTTTAAGTAGGTAAATATATTATTCATATAAGTCTCAACTTAATATTTTGTGTTATAAATTATTATGCCATCGCTTTAAAAAAAATATTCCACATACAAAATTGTCATGGTCCAAAGAAGAAAATATGAGAACATTGGTTAAAATTATATGAAAAATTATTTATAATGTAGGAAAAATATTGGTTAGGTAATATACCTATTCTTATTTTTTTATTTGTATTTTTCTTGTACATTATGATACTTGCCACTTGGTATATATATAGTAGAGTTAAGTTGGTCTCTATTCATTTAATAGGCTGGTTTATTATTATGCTGCACCTGGTATGTATTTGTGCTATTCAACAAAGAGAACAAATACATTCTTCACTCGGTATACTTGTATCACCTGTCGACCATCAGCGCAAAATATGATCCAAGGACAACCCAAAATGTACATAAAGGTTCAAAAAAAAAATCAAGAGCAAAAAAATCACCTTTTAAAAAACCCATGTAACAATTTCCGCAAAATAAATTATGACCTACAAATGTTTAATAATTCTATTTGAACAATTAGTTTCAAAAAAATAATTTAAAAAAAGTTTAAGTTTTAAATTGAGTACCTATATAGATAAAAACAACGATAACAATATAATATATTATCGAACATCCTTTTCTTAAAAATTTCATTCAGTAGCCAAATTGTCAATGTTAAAAACCAAATTGTAGTTCCACAACAATCGTATAATAAGTAGAAGAAATGTAAATAGTCATGTAATATTCATTAGAAATGCTATAATGACCTTGTGAGTTAATTCACGGGCTACTTTATAAATATCATTAGGTACTTGTCACAATAATTAGTTAGTTTTTTTAAGTTTTAAATTATTTTAATGAATGCTAGACACAAATATCATACGCCATAGAGTCCCAAATTCTCAACTCTCAAGGATAAAAAAGAAGGTAAATCCAAAATTGTCCAGCATCATCTTAGACCGAGGTAACAGTAAGTTAATCATGTAACCTGAATGATTAAAAAATATATTTTTTTTTTTATGGTAATTAATTAATTTAGTCTGCGTCACTAAACAAGTATTGAATCTTTCTTGAAAAATCCAAAATCGCATGTAAGTACTTAAATAATATTGTTCTCCGAAGAGCAGAAAGTCTGTTTTGCTGGAAGGTTATATTATTTCCTAAAATAATAAATAAATAATAATATATTGTAGACCGACTACTCAGTAATCACCGTCGAGTCGTACCAAATAAAACTGGTTTACAGTGGTGCGTGTGTGTGTATGTGCATATTGTATCACAGTATTTGTAATGCGTATTTAAATGGTTCAACGCTCCTCGGCTTGGAAAAGGGGAGGGAGATTTGTGCGTAGCACCGCAGAACAACCCAACGACGGATCAAACACGGCGGGCAACTACCGACCGCCAAGTGCCGACCGGCGACCACAGTCCACGGCCAACAGGGTTTGACTTCGGTAGTCTGAAATCAATGGTTATTGTTCATTTGAAACATAATGACTTTCAATTTTCAAATAAACCAATTCAAATTTTGAGAAAACAAATTGAATAATTTGACGGTTCCTGATAAAATTTAATTTCACACCTGAGCTCTAATAGAGTTTGTTTTTTAATTTTTTACTACTATTTAAAAAAATTATACTTTTCTATTCTATCAATATAATATAATTCTTTCTAGGTATGCTTATCAAAAATAAAATATATGGAGAAAGGCATAAAATTGTGAAACATTAATTATTGGTCCAAAAACGGTGTCTGGTGGATTTATCATTATAACTTAGAAGATATAACAAATATATAAAATTAAATCAAAATGATGATAATGTAGAAATTTAATTAACTGTAAGGGGTACTATGTCTCTTAATAGCCGCTCTAAATCCCTGTATTTTCAAAATAATTGTGAACATAATAATTTAGTAGGTAGTCATTTTACAAAATTAATGGAATATACTTATATAGGCACCTACCTTCTAATATTACAACTAATTTTCTGTTAGGTAGGTAGTTGATTTTTCAAATAAAAATGTCAAGACCAAAATAAGAAATTGTTCATTTTATATTTATTAAATTTCCTGGAAATCTACAAAATATTTCCATCAAACTTCGTTAGTGGATAAGTACGATTTGTGGTAAATGTCCAATTGTTTTATGTGACAGCATGCAACTATAGAAGCTATTCAATTAGGCATAAACAATATTCATAATACAATGTGTGTATGTTTAATGATTTAATTTGTAATTAACAAAATTAGTTTTTGTATTTACTAGTAAAAATAATAAATAATTCGTCATCTATGAATTTGAGAATATGTAGATATTTATTTAGTATACATATAGAAGTTATGTAATGTTAATTAAGTTGTTATACCACATTATGAATTACCTGCTCACGCATGGTGAAAACATTCGTATTTTACATTATATGCAATGACACATCGGTATGATAATATTTGTGACCTATCTGTTAACACTGTTAATCATAAATCATTTGTATCAATCATACAATTAAATAATTACTAATTAGTATAGTTGAAGCTAACAGACCACTTTCAGTGGATCATAGCAAATGTCTTACTTTGCAGAAATACATTTCAATTTAAAAAGTATCACAAATGGGATACTGATGATAACTACCTACTGGCTACCAATTATTATAATAAGTAGGAACAACACGTTATTAAAAATTTCTCACATTTTCTTTAGTAAATAATTTAGATTATGATTATATTATTTATCAAAGAATAAAGTACATAACTAAAACTTATTTAATTTACTTATATTTAAACAAAAATATAATATACCTATCAGCTATTAGACAGAATATAGTATTAAAAGTACTCAATAGGTACGTACCTAGATGGTGACAGAAAAATACGTTTTAATTAAATTTAAAAATATCGTTTGACGAGAATTTCGATAAAAAAAAGAATAGGTATTGCGTTTATGTAAAATAAATAGTTTTAAATTAGTATAATACTTCAGATATTAGATAACAAACTATGTCACTTTGCATTTTGCAACCATACGTTTTTTCAACCAATCCTCTATTTACTATAATATTTATTATTGAATACATAATCTCTCGTAGTCTCACGAGTCATGACTAATAGGTACTCTATAGTCTATGCAGTGTACAACGACAATAAAATAAAATTAACAATTCATTATCGTTGTCGTACATATATTACACATACCCTATTATCCTATCATATACTGACGTACAAGTTTTATGTCATTGACGTATTTTATTAGCTGACAGGTGACAATTGATCATGTATCAATAATATGTTGATTGTATTGACTATTGATGCAATGTATTTACTTGGTAACGAGTAGTTATAACGACCATTACTATTTAGTGACAAATAATAATACGTTAACATATTTATATGTTACGTATTATTATTTTTAAACGACAATAATATTAAAACTTTGTTCCTCACAATAATTATACGATTGCACCTATAATATGACCATGAAACAATTCATGTCCTTATTACTGCGGCCCGTAGCCCGTATAGGTTTTCCAACGTCCAACATACCTCCTTCAAAGATTTTATTCGAACCTCACCGGAAACTAGTATATAATATTATATGTAACCATTCTAAAAGATAATATACATAAAGCGCATGACATACCTACACTGTATGATGCATTGTATAAATATCAAAGGTTAGAGATATTATGTACCATTTGTCTATTTACTTGATAAATTCATACTTATTAAAATAGGTGATTAGGAAATACAAATGAATAGTTATTACTTATTATTAATATAAGCTACATAGAAAAAAGGTTAAAATATTACATTAATTAGATATTTTTGGAATCGATAAATAGAAAATATTAAATAATAATAAATATTTCTTTTGAACATAAACCTGGTAAGTATATAATTGGTATATGTGCATTCGTAAAAGAGTCTATACATAAGACATAACATCAATATTCAATGTCATGCATACAGCATACTGATATCTTTATTATTGAAAATGGGAATGATAATTTAATTTGATGTATTTACAATAATATCTCAATAGTTGACTACTGATGACTAAAGTTTGATAAAGCCCAACCTGTTGGTCAATACTAAAAAATTGTTCAAGTGTTTTAAAAAAAAAAAAAACAATATTCCGACTTAAAATGTAATCAAATGTTCCCATTTATCGATTTAAACTTTATCCGTTTAATTGATTTGTTCGAATATTTTGATAAAAATAACACAATTTGTTTGATATTCAACATTTTGGTTTTTTTCTTAATCAAGAAAACATCATATTATGTTAATGGAAAGGTTAAGTTTAAAAATATTACAATCGGCAACCGCAACGTTACGTGTTTATAGTTTATACCAATCGTGCTGACGTGATTCGAAATAAAAAAAAAAACGTATTTTCCTAACATTCGCTGCGGAGACCGTGAATATAGGGTTATTACACGGGTGTAATAAATACCTGTGAGTATATAGTCGTCTGGGTTAGGACGTTAGGCTATAATAATGTGGGGATAAATCTAGTGTGTATGATTAACCCACTCGTACACTGTCATTACACACGTATTGTTGTTATTATATACCGTACAATAAAAACACCACGCGATGTATTAGCATTATTGTTGTTATTATTATTATTTTATTTTTATGATTTTATAAAGTTCATTTGCGTGAGCAATCGCGAGTAAAAACTAAAGTCGCAAGTCGCCCGGCTGGCGCGTCGACCTCACGAGATATAGGTATACTCAGTGGCGGCGGCGGCGGCGGCGGCGGCGACTCGATGTCAGCGCGCGCTATTATATGAATTAGTTGGTGCACATGCCGCCGCAGTGTCGTGCCGACGTTCGCACGAGCAACTGCAACCATGATGGCTACTCGTTGGGATGTCGTCGGACGCCGGCGCCAGTAGATTTGTCGCACTCGCGTCCGGGTAAATTTTTTCGTTCACCTCCCCAGAGTGCCCCGTCGGTCAGAAAACAAAAAACATTTTGGCGACAATTTGCCACCGCGTAGACTTATAACAGGTGCATTAATTTTTTTGCTCGTGACGATATCATAATTAAATATTATACTATATTATAGTTTACGCGCGCCTTACGATCGCGACTAAACCGTCTGACTTCAGTCCGTCCGCCGACCATTCTACCGGTGTCGCCGTGAAAACTGTAGCAATAATATTATACACATAGTTCGGAATACCACGTGACTATAATAATATTAATTATCATATTTAAAAATTATTTTTACCACATCGTCGACTGCCGTGGTTTTTTAGCAGTACCATATAACTGTGTGGTAATATATTAATAAATATATAATATTAAAATAGTACATATTATAATATACGACGACGACGTGACGACAATATCGTACAACAATGACAGTTACTTATACAGCAGAGGTGGCCACGTGCAGGGGTTTCGGATGTTTTCTCAAACTACTATTGAGGTAAGGTTATAACTTATAACACGTTTAATATCTACCTATAGATATTGTACAAAACACACAATCATTATCGAGTAACCACGATTAAACGTCGCACTATGGTAGTATATAGGTAGTCGTGTATTATAATATTATTAATTACCTGTGATTAATTGGTTGATATTAATCAACCGTCATAATATACAATATATATCACCATTTTATACCTACTACCCTTCATTATGCACTTTTTTTTGAATAATAGGCACATTCGTAGTGTGTTTGTGTTTGTTCATTGCTATACATAATATGTTTAGGTCGCAGCTATGTACCTACTCGCTGTTATACATTGAACCACCGTCGTTTGTTAAAAACGTCTGACAATTTATAATTTATTGCTGTATTTATAAAGTATAAGTGACCTACGATTGGTCAAATACCACCTATACCGTTTATCGCATTACGCATATTTTATACATTACTTGTGACTGTTACGCAAATTTGCATTTCTTACACATACGAGTTTAGTTACATTTAACATCTTACTTACCAAATTAAACAATATATATTACTAATCTTAAGAATATGTCAAGCCCAGCATAGTAAATTTGAGTTCTGTAGATCTAACTTTGAGTAGCTAGTTTTAATTTTGGAGTAAATTGACATAATATTAAATTTAAAGTTGAGAATATCATCGATTTTTGTGTGACGGTTATTTTCTGAATATTTTAATTTTTAAGCTCAATTTTTTGATACTCATATGCCGGGTTGCATGAAGAATGTATTAATTTAATGATTCAATAAAATTTAATGGACCAACCACGGGCTACCAAATCATGTTTAAGGATCATAAGTTCACTACTGATTCGTTAAATGTTTAATGATTTTTCATGCAACCTGGCAGTAGTATGCGAAATATGACAATTTAAAATGTTAATGTCCTCCTTAAAAATGTAAATATTTTATAGTTGATATTAGATAAATTCACTGTAGAATTAAAATTAAAAACACAAAATTGGAACTGCTAAAAGTGAATTTGCTTTGTTGCACGTTTGTAGGACAGACACAATACATGCGGCGCCTTCCGTATTTCACTTATTTTATGATGACATTATTAGAATAAGGCGTCGTTATTACCAATTATAAGAACTATACAATAATTATGAAGATTAATTTTTGTTTTTATGAGACTTTTAAATTTTGAAATATTTTTAATGTCAATTAATTTCTTAAAAATAAAAAATATTAAGCAAGGATTTCAACATAACACAGATAAAGCTATTCTTTGTAGTTGATATAAATGATATAATAGCTTACATTACCTTAATTTCAACAATGTATACATTATAATCACAACGAGTGATATACTGAGAAACGGTTTTAACTATATTGCACGTGTCTAAGACGAGAAAAAATGTACTGGTGTGCCCTATTAAGTAATTAATTATTGCTTATACTACATTACAGAATAGTATTACTCTAATAAAATGTATTTTTCCTGTTTGCGATTCTTATAAATTTAATTAGAAGAAAGTATATGAAATAACTATAATAATTATGATTATCTAAGTTGATTATAGACAATAATAATAACAACTGAGGTTGATTTATCGGTGATGACAACTGGATCGCCCATTTCCCACTTGGTCTTATTTTGTTTGCACATATCAAAATTAATTCATTGATTTTAAAATGTACAGATAAAGATACTTCTTGACAATAATAGCTTTCAGATACGCTAATGAATTTTCATCATTTTATAAAATCCATAAAAAAATCAATAGTTGTAATGTTTGTTATGCTCATGAATACACAAGAGACACAAAGAAGTCTGCAAACTACGGCCCGTTAACAAGATTCTACTTGTCCTGCAAACTGCAGCCACAAGCTACCTGATTTACAGATTTTGGGTCCGGGAACTTTGATTTTCAAAAGGCCACCACCTCCGTGGGTTATATACTTATATGACAATAACATCAAAATAATACTAACAGTACTATCGTGGTTTATAATATGATCGACGGTAATACCATTAATACCTATACGTTTTAACGCTGATAAATAATCACTTTTAAGTTGTTTTTTGTAATGATTATTTTAATCGATACAAAAATGTTGTCCTTAAACAACATTGGTCTATTAAATATAATAAATATAATGAATCAAAATTAGGCCTGTCATAAATCGAGGCCAGGTGACTAGTCACCAAGGTACTATATCGCCTCAATCAGGGCCTGGCAGCGAATAATACAAAAATGAACTATTTTTATAATCTAGTTTTTTATTTGGTGAGGTTTTTCAGGAAGAACATTGAACATAATACTATTATAGTTATATTATAATCAATATATTAAACATAACTATGATGCAATTTTATTTGTTGGAGTATATGGGCGTACTCGGGAAAAATACACTAGTCACTAAATTTAAATGTCTCTTCTCTAAATAACGGCACGCCGTAACAACCATTAAAAACTTGCACTTATTTATCATGTTTATAAGTTCATTGCATTTCTATAAAACTAAAAATGGAAAATGTTGTTATATTTTTTGTTTTTTCTTTCAAAGTTTTTCATTTCTTATAAGGCTCTCGAGTAAAAAGTTTAGAGACACATGAGGCAATGCATTAGGATTAGACCATACTGTTCCCTAACGTATAGCCGTATAGGTGGTTGTGCCCTGTTTACGGGCCTCTCTATGAAAAAAATACATTATCACAAATTATTATTATTATTTTACTCGATCACTGGCCGATACGAAGGACCACGTGATTTAATGTAATAATGTAAAGATAATAGCTTTGTTCGAGCCGCCTTTTCTGTTAGTGTGCGTGCTCGACCTTGTACTGGGGAAGTGACTGATCGAACACCGGTTTTTAAATATTTTGGTATAGTTACTATTATCAAAAACCTCGAATGTTTTACTCTGTAAAATTCAGAATACTATACTATTAAAATTAATTTAACTTTGAATTAAATTGACTAGATTAAAATTTTTATTTTTTGTATTTCTAAAAATTCAAAAAGAAATTAAAACAAAGAAAAACCACAGTTAACAGATACACCTATTATACAAACCTAGTTAAAATAAATAAATAATCATAAATGTATGATTATTATTTTATAATAAAATATACATAATATGCAATAACTACATGCCACGGAATAATATATAGACCATAACACTAAGCACTTCTAGTTTTCAAAAAGACTGAAAAAAATAGTCACAGATTACGTTTGTATCTACATAGCGTTTTTTTTATTTTTTAACAGAAATTTTTACTGATGCAATTTATTTTTTAATGTATAAACATCAGATACTTTAAGTTAGTAGACAGTAATATAATATATCCAATATGCATTGTCTCTGACAATCATTATTAATTGGTCTCTGTGAATTTATTTAATTAATATAATATATATTATACATTTATGAAATCTAAATATTTAATATTATAATATTTTTTTTATGAAAAAATTAATTTTAACACTTTTTAATATACATAAATATAATTACAATCTTGTAACTTCAAATTGCTATATTGGAGCTTTGATAGCATTATATTTAAAAAAAAAATAATTATCAAGGTCGGTTACAATCATTAGGATGGATAGGAGAACATATATTTATTTCTCTCAATCATAACAATTTTCTATGATGACTATTGTCTATTATTGATTAGATATATTATTCATATTTTCGTTTGGAAGATTGTGTTGTTTTTGTGTGGTTGGTGATATGAATTCACAATTATTAACTTATGAACAAAGGCAATATTTTTAGATGAGCTAGTAATAGTATATATATATATATATATATCTAAAAGTTTGTAATACAGTAAAGGAAAAAATATGTTTAAAAATAATTTTAGAATGTAATATGAAAATTTGTAACTTTTAAGGTGTGTTGGTTAAAAATTATTTGAAAAAAATATTTTTGAATAAACTCAAAAATATTATTAACTTGGTATTTTAATTTATCGTAATTTATAATTATAATAAATTGGTAGGTCGTAGGTAGGTATATAACTACCATATCATCAATACATCTACATTATTTTAAAAAGTAAACTTTAATTAGGTTGTTATGTAAATAGTGTAAGCATTATTTTCTAAGACTTTAGGTACTTAAAATAAGAGAGATATAGTCAAAAGCATGTATATAATGCATACAATATCAATATACTGAAGGTATTAATTATTCACCACATATGTTTGAAGATTTTAAAAATAAAATTAACTAATCATCTATTGTACGACGACAAAAATGTAGGTATACCGACAATTTTTTTCTTAGACGATAATTAAACATGTTTGTGTTACGTTTTAACGTTGTAGCTTTTTCAATCACAAAATAGTTCCACTCTTCGAGACGATTTATTATACTAAGATTTTGGTCGTTCAGAGTTTACAGATCCCTATTGTTCATTTCGACCTTTTTTGTAGTTCGCATCTTTCTATTCTTGGGTGATTCATCGTTTGCGCATCGTTCGCTTTTACGTTAAATTATCGTAAGTACATCAATTGCGTATCATCATATTTAATAATACAGCGGAGAGAATTCAGGAGTATTCTAAAGCTTAAGTTACCTATCAACTGGCTTAAAATGTAAAGCTCATGTTCGTCTAACATTACTCTAATTATTGATTTTTGAATATTGAGTAGGTATTTTTGTTTGAAATTACAAACATGTATACAAAAATATTAAACAACTGACCTGTACGGATGACTCGTTGCCGCACGATCACGATAGATTTTTATCAAAATATGTATGTCTATATATATTATAAATTATAATTATGAGTTATGACTATTATTTAAAATTGAATTGAATAGACAATTTATCTTTAATTTTATATAATTATACAACTACATAATTACTATATATTACCTATGAATTATAAAAACTATTGAATTTTCAAGTTCAACCACAATTTAGTAAATATTAAAAGTTATTTTAATATGTGATGTACAACATATTATTTCAAATTTATTATACCTTATATTGTTCGGTATGTTAATGCT